AAGTATGTTGTCAAGAGAGCTTGAGTAGCATACGTAAGCGGTATCCTATTCCCCTTGCATTCTGTGGCGCGACATGTTCTAGTAGTGCCCCTAGATAATTTCAAAGCTTTCCGCAAGCTCCCGTTCGGTCTCTTTAAGTAACAACAATGAACGTATTGTGACGTCGGCAGTTGGGGGACTTTATATTACCATCATGAACTTTGGTGGAAGATGACGAGTTGGGGGTATTTAGCATTGTTCAGGGGACTCGAGACTAGGAACACGTCTGACTGTACATAGACAAACATACAGATGAATTCAACAAGGAAAGTCTATCATATTCAAAGTAATTAATGCCCAGAACATCCGACTCAACCGAGGTAGAAGACGTTGATAATTGGCTGCTAAGCTGGCAACCCGGCTCGTTCAATCTTGGGGTACGGAGTAGTTTGGGGGGATTGGGGGATCTCCGGAAATGAACCAGTAGCAAGGGGAAACTCAAAAGGATGGTAATGATGCCTATTGGCCAATTTGCGGAGAAAGCGACATTGAATCCTACCCCGCAATTTAAGTAAATGGCATCGTGGGGTAAAGCGCGAGGTTTGGGAACGATACCGATTAGTGCCGGTGGATCTCACCTGAACTTTGCCAGAATATCCGATAGAGTTCTTCCACCAATGACACGTCCACTATCAAAGATATCGAACGGTCTGGCATAATTAATATAAAGACGTGAGTATGGCGTTGATAATATGTTTCCGTATCAGCAAGTCATTCAATAGTCAACATGTTGTTCAATAACCTTGTTTCGGCGGTTGCCGTGTCTGCTCTTGTGTCGTCAGTTGTTGGCACCTCGTCTCGCAACTCGGCATTACCCAAGAGGCCCCATGTTGAAGCTGCCCCTTATGGTACAGGGAAAGCCTTTCCTGCCTCTCCCGCACGATCCCGCAAGGACTTTTGTTATGTCAACGCGGGTAAGGGCAAGAATGTCGACGATGCTCCAAGCATTTTGAAAGCGTTCAAGAAGTGCAACAAAGGAGGCACAATTGTTCTTGACCAAAAATACAGCATTGCCTCGCCACTTGACTTGACATGGCTCTCTCATGTCGACGTTATCATTACTGGAGAGGTCAACTTCAAGTCCGATCCCTACTACTGGGCAGACCACAGCTTCAAGTATGACTTCCAGAACATGTCTTCGTTCTGGAAGATTGGTGGCAAGGATATCCATATTTATGGCGATCTGACGAAGGGGGAGTCTCTGCTTGATGGCCATGGGCAAGCTTACTGGGAAGAGATGGCTGTCAACAAGACTGTGAGTCATGATGCACTCTAGCACTCCTTTGCTTACCAACAATACTAATTGTTGCCAAGTTACTCAGACCAATCCTGTTGACGATTGAGGACGCACATGGCCTTACCATGTCAAACCTGCGAATGCGCAACCCACCCAACGTAAGTCTCAGTCACATCCGGCACAGTACCAAGCTCACAGAAATCAGTGGTTCAACATTATCATCAACAGTACGGACGTGTTGATCAGTGATTTAGACCTTGAAGCCAAGAGCTTGAATGGGGTCAAAATCGCCAACTCTGATGGTTGGGATACTTACCGTTCCGACCGCATCGTCATCCAAGACTCCGTTATCAACAACACAGACGGTACGTTCCCAATTCAGGACTTTATGGTCACATTCTGACAGCCGCAGATTGCGTATCCTTCAAGCCAAACAGTACAAACGTGGTTGTTCAGAACCTCGTGTGCAATGGCTCTCATGGTATCAGTGTTGGTTCCCTGGGCCAGTACAAGGGCGAGACCGACATCGTGGAGAATCTTTACATCTACAACATTTCCATGTCTAATGCCAGCGATGGTGCTCGAATCAAGGTCTGGCCTGGCGTTGAGACTGCCTTCCAGGATCTTTTGAACGGCGGCGGCGGTCTCGGCCGTGTCAGAAACGTGACATACGATACCTTCTACCACGAGAATAACGACAACGCTATCACCATTACTCAGTGCTATGGTCAGAAGAACCAGACTCTGTGCAACGAGTACCCGGTAAGTTCAACAGACACGTGTGAACTATCTGTTACTGACATAATGCTAGGCAAACTTGACTATTGAGGATGTCACGATGAAGAACTTCTGGGGAACAGTATCAACTAAATACGACCCACGAGCTGGAACTCTCGTTTGCAGTGCACCCGATGTAAGAACTCATTACCAGATACACATTGGAGTTAACTAACTTATTGCAGCGTTGCAGTAACATCGTGGCTGAGGATATCAGAGTCCAGGTTCCAAGCAAGAAGCCACCGGTTTACGACTGCCAGAACATTGACACGAGCACCTTGGATATTACATGCCGAGACCCAACCAGTGCCAGGGACACAACTAATGGATAGGCATACAAGGCTGATAGACCTGTAGTGATTCAATATCTACTATATTACCCATGACGAAAACCTCACTCTTAACTACATGTTCCATGACACGCATTAAGGCCCATTGATTGGCGTGCTGGCCACTGTGAACCCACAATACACGGCGTTTAGATAAGCGCTTAGATAGAGGATTGATCCTACGCCAACGCCGATTGAGTATAGTTGTGCTTACGACGTAGTACAATCAGTTGTAGCTCCTTTTGCTCAGCCCTACAAGGATGACGATGCCGGCAGGGCGTAGCAAGGACTTTCTTATATCAACGCGTATGTGCAGGTAGGATAGTATGTTTGCTTGGAAACTCGTTTGCAACTATCATAATGGAAGAACAGGAGGTTTCCCCATATCGCGGCGCGCCGTTCCCAAAGAAATGGCGTCGAAAACATCCACGTTCAAAGAATGGATGCCTTACTTGTCGCACAAAACGTAAGAAGTGCGACGAGGTTAAACCAATATGCACAGCGTGTGAGAGGTCTCAGCAAGACTGCACCTGGCCAAGGACGGAAGAAAAGCAACAACCAGACATGCAGCTCAGCGTCAACACAACACAAGCTAGCAGTTCCAACCCACCACAAAACGTCAGCCTTACGGCATATGGTGTTCCCAGCGTTCAATCAGGATTAAGAGCTGCAGCTACTTCATCTCTAAGAGCCGCTCCAGCATATGGAAACCTCGCCTATCTAAGCGATAATTCCCGGAGACTCTATCAGCACTACATCAGCGTCACGGCCGAGATGCTGACACGTGGACCAAGCCTGGACGGGAACCCATTTATACAGTACTTGCTGCCGCTGGCGTCACATGATGCGCTGGTGCTCAACTGTGTCCTCGCCATTGGGGGAGCTCACGTCGTCGTTAACGATACGTCAGCTAGTCATAAAGGCGCCCGTGGCTTGGAGGTAGCTGCTCGTAGCCATTATGCCAACGTGCTATCTGGAATACAGAAGCTTCTGTACTATCGAACTGGACAGACAGTCTGTGCACCAGAAGCTGACACAACTCCACCAACTCCTTCCCGTGTCCTGCTTATTCTACTGCTCCTCTGCGTATTTGATGTGAGTGAAATCGGTACAGTCTTGATACCAAACATTAACAGGACAATTCAGCACGTTCAGGGTAGCTCCGGCAGCTCAATCTATCACCACCTCAAAGCCAGCCAGGAATACATCAAAGTCCTCACGAATGACCCCAATGCTCCTGATGAGTTACGGAACTTGAGAGGGTTCATCCTCGAGCTATACACATACCATACAATGAAGCTCGCAATTACTCCTCGAAGCCTTACATCCAGTGAGTTTGTCGAGATTGACCCATCCGTACAGTCATTTGATGTCCTTGATGGGTATAAATCTCGAGGATACCTGCTTGGTTTCGGAAAGCAGTTATTCGAGCTGGTGCCCAGAGTTGCAAAGCTTGTTGAGGCTCGACGCAACGAGGAGCAACAAAACCCCAAGAGGCTAACGGCTTTGTCAAAGGAGTGTGACTCCTTACTGCAGAAATTGCATAGTGTTGACAAAGCCGGCGACGAAGGCAATGGTCTCCGGCCTTACAAAGAGCGTGCAGGTGCGACAATGATTTATCAGAACGCGTTAATCGTATATCTGAAGTCGGCATTTCAACGGAACATACTTGCTGATCCGGAACTGATGTTCGAGATTGAAGAACGGATTGACCAGATGATGCCCAACTTCTATAACCTGTTTGTCAGCGAATCACCATATCGACGTATGCTCCTCTGGCCAGGTGTCATTATGGGTTCTTGTGCACGAAGTGAGAAGCATATTTCGGGTTTCAGGGCAGGTTTTAAAGCAAGGGCGTCAGGGACACCAGGTGCAGTAAAGATAGGAGCACGGGTTGTTGAGCTGTTGTGGAATGACCCAGACCCGCGGGCCTATGGTCCCCGAGGTTTGTCATATATAATGACCAAGAATGGCATTAGCTGTAGTCTGTGTTAAGAACAGCGAGAGGAGTGGTACCGTACATCAACATTCGAGCTCCAATTCAACTGACTTTTACGCGAATTGATTAGGCTGTTGCCCTGCTCTTCTATTATTGAATGTCGCATACCCCTGTTCGCTTCTCCAGTGCTTGTCTGGAGCAACCGCGAGTTACCAATTTTCTATCGCCGAAGAGCTAATTTCAGTATCCTGATATGCTATCGTGATCTTATCTCTGCTATCCTGCTACATCTGATATGGTATGCATAGGAGATCGGACAAAGCTAGGCCCCTTCGCCGATACCAGGATAAGCTGCACACTCTGATTGGTCGGGTGCCACTTTATTGTCTGACAACATCTGAATATCTCAAACGTCACTCAAGTGTGTAGATATTATAGGTTGTATTATTCTGTGCTTCTGCTCCTCTTGGTAATGGCGTCTTCATCACAGCAGCCTACAAATTTCGCCTCACAGTCCCAGATGATTATTGACCTTACTGTTGATGTAGAACCAGCATTATTTGAGGTCCTGAACTTCGATGGCCAATTCCGTGCAACATATCTTTGAAATACTGCACATATGAAGCATGCGCTGCATGTGCTAGGTGCCAGAACGAAGCTATTCCGACTCATTTGCAAATTACTTACAAGATGACGAAAGTAACTTGCTCATCACCTCTCCCAATACTCCTAGATGCGGCACTACAATAGCCCCGCTGCCAGCTAATGCCTTAGCCTTGGCCTCTGCTATTACACCGCCTGGGTCTAGGAATGCACCGGCATAGCCCATAGTTCTTCTCTTGGGAGCTGTGTTTCCGGCAGCCATAACTATCATTGGTTTTGGACTCTGCGTGGGTCTTCCATATTGCTGAATAGCCTCTGCGGCTCTTAGTTCTGCCTCGCCACCAATCTCGCCAATAACGATAATTCCCTCTGTTTCCGGATGAAGAAAGAACAGCTTTAGACCATCGACAAGCGTCGTACCTAGAGAATCTATGTGAGCCGACCAAGTTTGTCGTGACAGTCAGCAAAGCGAAAATTCCAGACATACCTGGCATCGTGTCTTCTCCCGTACCGATAACAAGACTCTGACTTAACCCAGCCAATGAGGTTGAGTCTACAGCTTCATAACTGAGGGTTCCACTTTTGGACACTATGTCAATATTATGCGGCATGATACCAGTACGGCATTGAGAAGGCGTAGTAATGCCTGGACAGTTAGGGCCAACTAGACGGGTATTGGATGAGTTATGAAAACATCATGGATATATAGCATATCATGGATTGGTATGTGCTCGGCCACTGATACAACAAGGGGTACTTCTGCTTCTGTTGCCTTAATGATTGCAGTAGCAGCGAATTGTGCTGGAACAAAAACTGATGTTGCATCAGGATTTAACTATTCCACGGCCTACAAGCACATTGATTAAGATGGGTTATAATGTTTGAGAGCGTAGGAAAGAAGGCTTCCCTCTTGGACTGTGTTGAACGCGGGAAGGCCTAAATGCTCTTGCTCACCTTTGACAGTGGATACTCCGTCAACAACATTGGTTCCACATGCGATAGTATCCTTGGCGTTGACAGTGGCCTTGTATGTATGTTAGTTAAATCCGTTGAGAATATGTTGGTGAATACATACAACTTTACCAGTGAATCCTAAGGACTGTGTGTTAAATCTTTTCTTTGTTTGATTTTCCTTCTGCGCCTCATCTCGATCATGAGACAAGAGTCCTTACCTTGGTAGATGACCCTAGTATCTTTGCCGATATTCAAGTTTGCAATCGTGTTGTCTCATACATGATGCCTGGGTGCGGAAATTGAGAGACACCTGTTGCCACCTTGAGCCGGGGGCATCCGAGGCCTTTTCCAAAGAGAGGCCAATGTCGTGCGAGCTGCCATTGCTTGCCCTGAGGAACCGAAGATTGTATTGAGAAATAGTATAAATGAGGAGAGGTCTTTACTAATTACAGTATGGTGAGTTGAGAGACCAACTCAAGCAAAATAGTAAATGTGTCGTAAATTTGAATTATTCAATGAGCATTGTTGGTCATATGCCGTACAGCCGTTTCGGCTACACGGACTAGGTTTACCATGGAGTGACATTAAAAACGAGTTATTTGCAGTGCGTGTGGATGGGGCGTTAGTGAAGCTTAATGTTCTGTTGAACAGCCGAAGATTTCCATCATGTCCGTATGACCGAGATAAACACCTGGCCAAGACAACAATCTTTTTTACTTCAACTATGCCGTCCATCCCTACTAAATTGCCTATCATGAATCCGATGCGCAGGTCGCGGGCGCGTCAGGCCTGCAGAACTTGTAATGCCCGACGCGTGAAGTGCAATGTCGTCGAGAGTTGGTCGTGCTTCAATTGTCAAGATCATCAGGTAACTTGTGAGCTCCACGAGTCCCAGCGCGGTCGACATCACAGGCCGATTCTCACGCAGGTACCAAAAAGTCCAGTTCGTGCATATCACGACGATGCCAGCGTCACACGGCACGACAAAGATAAAGCACCCGAGTCTGTGCCGTCACCGGAATCGGGCATTCTTCACCGCCCAGGCTCGCGGTGCAGACACAAGATTCCCAGACTGTCAACCAAATCATGACCCTGAGGAATGCCACAATACAAACCCAAGAGTTGAAGGATGGCTGTGACATTGAATGCGAGCCCTCCTTACCACGAATGAACCCAAACACAAACACAAAATGAAGTTCAAGATATTCATATAACGAAGACCGACCATATGACGACGAAATCGTTTTTTTTTTTTTTTTTTTTTTTTTTGCGGAGTCTGCTTTAATAACATATCTCCATGGCACGCAAACTTCACCAGTATCACAGTCCACGACTGACCAAGGCTTTGTCTATCAAATCCCAGAAGGCCTGAGCGCAAAAGCTGTAACATCCCAGTGGGAGCTTGAGCGCAAAATAGCTCGCATCCGTCCATTACAGCTTGAGGGCGCATTTTCGTTTACCAGCAAGCCAACAGTGGAAATATCCCCATGGGATATTTTAAATGGTCCTACACATGCTTTACTATCGTCGACGAGCCAGACATCTGGGACCAACATCGCCGAGGCATTATACCGCCCCTACTTTTGTAGCCCATGCTCTTCATAGGCGTCATGCATTGTTCCGAACAGGACTCGGAACAAGTCGGCTTGGGTTCACGTCAGCGGGCAAAGTATATCCTATATAATCGCGCCAAGGCATTGTTTGACGCTGAAGCTGAACCCAAGTCACTTGTGGTCATACAGGCTTTGTTTCTCATGAGCTTCTATAGAGCAGGGCCTCTGCTTCAAAAGGATACTCGCCACTGGCTTGTTGTGGCTGTTAGTCAGGCGCAGACAAGAGGCCTACATCGAGCATTGCGTGAGGAGAAGGATAAAACCCAGCAACTCCGAAAGCGTGTGTTATGGTGTATATACATCCATAAGAGGCAGTGCGCGGATGCCTCAGGTCTTCCTAATCCGGTCCGAGATGAAGACTGCGATGTGGAAGCTCTGGATAAGAACGATTTCCAATATACCTTCGATTTTTCGTTATCATCGTCCCGAGCGGCAGATTCCATTGTGTATATAATTAAGATGGTCAAGGTATCCCGAGTGCTTGGTCGAATAATTTACCGGGATTTTTTACCTCCGATGCGCTCGAGCTCTGTTAAGCGAAAGGAAATAAGAGCCGCACGAGCTTTTTGGACAGCATCATTACCTGCAGGTATGCACCTCTCGCTCAACGAAACAAGCAGCAGCCTCAGCTTTCTCGCCAGCATGCTCCATTTTTCCTACAGCCATCTCCATATTCTTCTTTACCAGGCAGCGACGCCAATTGAAAAGTTGCGATTCAGACTGCGGCGCGGAACTCTACTATAATCGAGCATATAATCATTTAGGATCTCATGTGCCATACTCAGATCCATGTCACCACCAATGTTTTCAGTACGTTGTGTATTCACACGCTTCAGCTCAAAGAGCTCCAAGGCGGGCGTCATTTTGTAGGCGAACATCGTGCTAGCTTTGTCTTGTCGGTTTGTGAGAGTTACAGAAAACGTGGGAGTATAAGAATCGGTCACTTCAGTTATTTTTTCAATCCTTGGACCACACGACAGCGCTGAGGCTACAGATTGAAGACGAGAGTCGTCACTCGACGAACCCGCCACAGCAGCCTGGGCAGCATGTCATGAAGGAACAACCACTTACACATAGATCAAGCCAACGTTCAAGATGCTAGTTGGCCCATCGAGATACCAAATGTCGGTCAATTTCTTCACACACAGATTGAAGATTGGTTTATCAATGGAGACTGAGGGGCGATAGACTGGTACATGGCTGACTTTCTTACCAATGCATTACCACCTTGGAATATCAGGCTTAGGTCCCCTCCAACTTAAATGTTTCCCTATACTTGTCTTTATTGGTTCATGAATTCCTGCCTCCAATTTTTATCCCTGTTGTTCACACTCTCTTATACAAAGCTATGCTCAAGCTTAGGTACCTCTACCTTTTTGTGTTTATTCTAACAGTTATTGTTTCCAAGGACTCCATAAAAGGCAATCTTTCCCTTAATTGTCTTAAGGTTGGTCCGACTATATTGGCTAAGTGATTGAATTGTAACTTTATAATAACGGCTTAGTTAATTCGGTATACTTAAAGTGACGTTAGGGATAGGCCGCAATCTAATATTTCCCGATTATTCTTTAAATCTTACAGTTATTATAATGGCATGTTATTATATTTAACTAAACGCTAAACTCTCTATAATGGGTCTAGAACTATATATATGCTATATACTTAATAAATTCTTTATATAATATATATTAGCCATCAAATTTATCGATAATTAGCGATATGCTAACTTATCTTGATGTTATTGCTTTTATTTTAGCCCCTGCCGCTATTATTATAATTGCCTGCACTAAAAACCTAATTGGCGGAGTCCTACTAGAAATAATTAGTTGTAAGTCCTATGCTACTTTATAAGTATAGAGGCCTGTTGCCTATAAGACCCTACTTTAAGAAGGTTAAGCTGAACTTACCCTGCCTAATTACTTCCTTTCAAATCCTCCCACAATCTTCGCTCTAGAGCAAACAGATATCTTATATCAGCAAAGATCCCGCGCAAGAGCTGTTCATGTTAACTACTTATTCCTCTTAGTATATACTTTAGTAACCTACACTGAAATATAGAGAAACTTCATTATTGGTTAAGAAGCCGATTAGTAACTCTTATTTAGCAACGAGAATCAGATAGCGAACCTGCAAATCTTAATCTTGCGCTATTAGCTAGGCAATCTAGCTCTTTTAAATAGTCTTTAATATTTCTATTTCTAGATAGTATTAAGGTCCTAGTTAACCCTCTAGATGCTAATGTTAATATCTGTTTTGTTTATAGTTTAATAAGCGATTGCACTAGCACTTAGATGGCGCGTAGGCAACCTGCACCCTGGCCGAAAACGCTCCTTCTATCTGAGCTACCTAAAGCCTGTATACTTATATATGGTTATGATGCATATATAGTGTTGAAATCGGTAGCGTCTTCTAATAGACTTATTGATTATGCTATAAATCTTCTTACCGATCTTATAAATAACTGATAGTGTTGTAATGCCTTGGACTATCCCCTTATCTTTATTATCTATAGCCTAGGTAGTCTTATTTATAAGGAAGCTATACTGCTATCGCGCAATAATCCAAATCACTCTCACTAAGACTTCTTTATATATATTAAGGGCGTTATATTTATAGGTATGCCCTATAAGGGCTTGTAGATGGCTGACTGGTTGGGAATACCTACTAAAGCTCTGGGCCTGGTTAAGTCTATTAACCGATTACTTCTTAAGGTATTAGAAATAAATAATTAATATCTTAAGTCTATTTATATTAGATTTCTATCTATAATATAAGAGTAATGTAAGGCGGGAAGGCAGCTTGAGATTGCCTGTTTTTTTAGGGAACTACCTCTATTTATGGTGGGTAAAGTTGTGTTAAAGGAATTAGCTATATTTAAGGGCTATGATCTAATTACTATCTATGCTAATTATGTAGATATGGTTAAGTTTGGGTCTATAGAAGAGACTGGCTTTAAAAGGGTTGTTGGAGAACTTATAGTATGGAAATTGGATCTCGCTAAGAGTAGTAGGTAAGCTTATTTATGTATTACTGTCGCTGAAGTT